AAGGTCATTGTAATTTAGCTTATATTAATATAACCTAAATATCAGTAATAGGTATGTATTAACAGTTACATAATAATGTATCGGACAAACATAAGTGGCTTTATAAAGTCATGGAAGGACTGCACAGCTTTATAAATATGATTTGTTTGCGCCATCTAGTGGACAAACCATTGATAAACACTTTTGAGGCAGTGATTCATGAATCATTCCTTCTCTATTGGCCATTTTTATTTTACGGTGATACATGGTGCAAGATTAAACATACAACATTGCTTACAGTATATTCACAGTTAACCATAATGGTGTGTGTCAGTAGATGCAATAAAGTGAACTTGTCTTATTGGCAGTAAATGTTATTTGGAGTGAATATAGTTAGTGTCTGATGCTGTAGTGTAGAACCCTCCCACCAAATCCTTAATTTAAAGAATATCATCTGATTGTTGTGGAAAAGCATTTTGCATTCATCTGGACAGTGGATCTCTTGTTACATTTCACAATGTTTTTTATATCCTTACTTTTGCATTTACCTTTGGTATAACAGACACTGATGCCTTTATTAATACACTTGAAATTAAGGTGCTGTTGAAGGTCAGAAATGATTGTTTATTGGTTTCACTTTCAGTGATGTTTTAGAGAATCACCTGAGATCTGCCTCATTTAACATTTTCTACTTCAGTCATAATAAACATATTTATTGTGACTGTTATATTTAGCTGTTTTGTGACAATCAACGGCTGATTATTTTGTTCAGTCATCAGTCTAACTGCATTAATTTGCTCATGCTTATAAATATGCAAACCTTGGGTGGTTTAAATCTTCAGACTGCTATTAATGGAATGGAATTGATATTAAAGTCCATCCTGCTATTTCAAATAGTTTTGTCAAGATCGTGAAAGTTTACTGGACTACCAGCAGCTGTTTTATTAAAAGAATTGTGTTGAATCTCTTTTATCTGGATGCTTAGATCGCTGTTAAATCTGTCAGACACTTTGAGAACAACAGAAGGGAAAAGCACAGCTAATGTTTGCCGTTTATCTGCAGATGCTCGTTGATGCTTCTGAGTGGAGAATGGAAGGTCTGGTATAACTGGTTTATGCGACGCATTAAAGGATCACTTTACAGCCATTTCTTTGTAACGTGAGAGGAACGAAAGCTCTGCTCTAGTAGGAAGTACAATGTTCGATTTTCTCCCTGCAATTTTGACCCAGAGCACTGCAGTTTAGTGAACACACGCCCTGTGTTTGCCGGATCAACAGCACTTCCCAATGAATCTTTAATGACCGCTTTAGAAGTCGTAATGGCTAGTCACTAATGTCCATTAATGATTTCTGAATGCAGCTGGCCCCGCCTTGATGGCCTCTCGACTGTTCCATTAGGATTTCTTTTAGTATGGTTAAAACTTTGAAAACATCCTGCTGCTTGCTGCTGCTTGAATCACCACTGTCTTCCTGCTTTGTTCTTTCCAATATTTAATTGCTAAATATGACATTTCCTCTCAGAAAATCAACATCAGGTAAGGTTTTTCTTCACTTGTTTGGTTCTTTGGTTTTAAGGTATATGTAGAATTTTATACTAAGTATTGGAAATGACCTGCTGGATTCATTGTGTATTACTTTTAGAGGGCTTTATTGGTTTCAGGTTCAAGTTTTGTCTATTTGTTTTTTCTAACTTTTCTCTGGGCTGTCAGTTTGTGGAGCTGTCCGAGGTGCTGAACTGCAGATAAAGATGCGTGTTATCTAACGCATTAGCGTCTTCTTTCTTTATCGCATATTTATTTGACTAATTCACTCTTCGTTCTCACAGTCTTCTTTATCCCGTCTTAATCCCGTATTGTATTATTATATAATATATATATATATATATAAAATATTTTGTAGCGTGTATCTTTAAAGATTACAGGTTTTAATTTTAATAACATTTATCATAATATTTACCCTAATTAAATATTAAAACCGAATTTTTAGGTGGACTGAATCACATTTGCGCACCTCACAGAACCCACGGTTATTTAGCTCAACTAAAAGATGCAAGTTACTGACACGAGAAGGGCTGAAAATATTTTCTAGCATTTTATTTTCAGAGTAACTTTGCATTACTGAATCAAAATAATATGTGGTTTTCCCCCGTTGATGTTTTTCTTCCGTTCAAACGTGTAGTTGAGTCGTATTGCGTCTTATGATGTGATTATTGGACAGTAGATGGCGCTGTTGATGAGCATATACAATTCTGTAAGGCGCTCTGCTGTTAAATGATCAGGGCAGGAGTCTGAAAGGTTGAGATCGATAATAATTACTGAGGATGTTGAGTGTAAGGCGTCCTACAATCAGTCACTTAACGTGATTTTATTTGATTTGGACGTTTCTTAATCTTTCCAGTAATGCAGGTAAAAAAAAAAAAAATCCTAATATTTTTTTAATAGCCTATACATCGTACATCTCGGATTGAAGCAGTTACAACAGTATTTTATTTATTATTTATTAAAATTATGCAGTGCAAATATTAATATGCATATCAATGCATGTTATTATGAGTGGGCCAGAAGACAGCTGTGCTTTTGCCACGCTCGCAGGAAACTCACTCCCATGGCAACCAACACTCCTCCAATCAGGACATCGCAACTCAGTTGTTTCCACGCGATCCGTTATGTTTGGGAAAGAAATATAACACATGACTGGCACATTATGTTCGACTGTGTAACTGTCTAAACATTATAAAGCTTCAAGAGCTCCAGTTCACTTGCAGCTGTCACATTTGTGTGTGTCACCGTCTCCCCGCGAGTCTCTAACGGGGCAGCCCGATAGATTCGTCTCCTTGTTAGAAATTGATCACTGGCGCTCTTTACCCAGCTCGCTGTTCACACTGAATGATTCTCAGACATTCGGGATCTAGTTTTTAGGACTAATCTTTACGCACTTCACTACAACATTAAAAATGTTGTTTTGTTGTTCCTCACTCTTCGTCCTCCGCCCCAGAACAGCTCTGTGGAAGGAAACGTTCACGAACTATCGATGTTCGAATCGTCCAAGTTTGCTCTTTTCAGTGAATCGGTTGAAACGATTTTGAATCGGTCACCACTGACCCACTGAACCGAGACATGCCCTCTTTCGGACGTGTTACATGCGCAGCTAGAATAACATATTAATTAAGTACATATTAACACAAATATATTAATATATGCTTCAGGAATTTAATCGAATAACACAATTTAATATAGGATAACATTTGTTTAATACCAATGGGATTACAGCCTAGTTTCTTTCAGACATGGCAGATTCGTAATTAAAGGGGTCATATGATGCTATTTTAAAGAGCATTATTTTGTGTATTTGGTGTAACAGAATATGTTGACATGCTTTAATGTTCAAAAAACACATTATTTTTCAAATACTGTACATTATTGTAGGTCCTCTATGCCCCGCCTCTCTCAAACGCGTTGTTTTCAACAAAGCCCCCTCCTTTGACAAGCGCAGTCTGCTCTGATTGGCCAGCTGACCCAGTGCATTGTGATTGGCCGAACACCGCAAGCACTCGTC